ATATATATATATATATATATATATATATATATATATATATATATATATATATATATATATATATATATATATATATATATATATATATATATATATATATATATATATATATATGTGCGTGTGCGTGTGTTTGCATGCATTTATACATATGAACAATTACTTCTAAGCTTTTCCTCTTGTTCGACAGGCAAAGAATTACGATGCCTTGGTGACCCAGGGTGAACAATACTGCCAGAAGATCGTTGACCCCGAAACGCAATCGAACTGCTTGACCTGTTTCCAAGAGGCCGGAAGTGGCAACAGAAACGAGGTCAGTCCGTGTTTTATTCTCTTCTTTCACTTCTTTTTCCTTTCTTTTCTTTTTTGAATTGTGATTTTCTCTCTTCTTTTCTCACTTCCACTGAGCAGGTTGATATAATACAGAATGAGGGTAGAGATGGGTAGATGAAATGCCTTTTCTAAAATTAGATCAGATATGGTATGAGCAGATTTTGTGTTTGTTGGTTCGGGAATTGAATATTGGCAAAGCATTACATTTTTTTTATGTAAATTAAGCAATATGAATATACTATGGATATATATTTGGGTTTTCATATACTATTTTCTCTCTTTTTTTTTTTTTTTTTTGGGGGGGGGGGGTGAATATTGGTAAAGCATTGCAATTCTTTTCCGTAAATTAAGCAATATGAATATACGATGGATATATATATATTTGGGTTTTCATATACTTCTTTTCTCTCTTTTTTTTGGGGGGGGGGGGGGGGGGGGGAAAGGGACAGACTAAAAAATCGACAGCGGCGGTTTGTGTTTTCTCATTTATTAATCCACTTGAAGACTGATACAGAAAATTAATTCCGAAAATGTATAGTCAAACCGCAATAAAGTGCTTAACTGATTATGCTAATGAGAACGGTTATATTGATGGTGATAATGGTTATGAGGTTATTGCAAGGATAACCATATAACAAGTATCTTCACTTTATTTATTCACTTTGTATTTATTTATGATACTGATGTTACTATTATCATTATTTATATTATTATCATGATTATTATCATCATCATCATCATCATCATCATCATCATCATCATCATCATCATCATCATCATCATTATTATCATTATCAATAATTATAACCAAACAACAGTGATCATGATAATAACAATTATAAATAAGATGACATTAATAATGATGATATGAATGATTATATCTAAAACAATTATAACAATAACAACAATAATATAATTATTTTAACGCTGATGATAACAATAACAATGGTAGTGGTAATAATTACTTTGTTATCATTACTACTGCTCGCATTTCTCTTATATTTTTATTATAACAATCACTCAGTATTATCATTATTGTTATCATTACTGTCATCATCATCATTATTATCATCATCACGTATTACTATTCTCAGCATTATATGATGAACAAAAATATTAACAATATTGCAAGGATAATCATAACAAGTATACCTTTTCTCATTATCATTATTTATCGTACAAAAATTATAACAATATCAACAACAACAATAATAATAGCGGTAGCGAACTCCGATTCGAAACAAATTAATACAAAATCTGATAACGGTATTAACATCAACAGTAAGAATAATAACAACAGTAGCGAATCCCGATTCGAAGCAAATTAATCCAATGTCTTTGTTTACCAGATAAACTCTTGTATGAAGCAATGGCTGCCCAAGAGCATGGCCAGGTGTGCGAATAAGCAGAGCGACGCAGCACTTGAAGCGTGTATGGACATCGCGGGAAAACTGGATAAGGCGAAAGAGAAGGTAAGGTTATGTCGGAAAATTTGTCGGTGTATTTCTTTTCTTGGATACCTTTAGATACTTGTGTATATATTTTTTTCAATAGGAGAAGTCGTACAGATGTGTTTATTTATCGTGAGAAGGTAAGGTTAGTTATGTCGAAGAATTGGCGGAGCCCTCCATCCCTTCAAGAAGGTGGTCCACGAGATTTGAAAATAAAGTTGGGGGATATAGAAGTTGCCAAAATTGCAAAAGTTGCCCAAGCGTGTAGTGAAATTCTGCCCTTAACAAGTTTGATTTTGTCAGTTAGCATTCTGGCCGTGCCTGGTTTCAATAAACACGTGCCAATTTTGGCCACTTAATCGACTGAAAAATTCGCATCGGTATCTTCATAAAAAGAACAAGATATGAGCAAAAGATCGTGTAGTGTCTTGATTAGGTAATAATGCAATAAAAGCGGCAATGAGCTGCAGCCTTGACTATTCCAACAAATAATTCCAACAACAATCAACAAATTAAACGCGTGTGGAAAAACAAGTACAGATTAAAACCACCACCTGGAAAAGGAAAGAGGTGCAATATAGTATTTAATTAGGTCTGAAACAATTGCAAAGAAAGAATCACAATAGCAAAATTTAGACAAAATGAAAACCACGTTAGACCAAAAAGAGACTATATTGAACCGTTACTTTTTTGGCTGGCACCGAATTGTTTACATTTTG